AAAGGCCAGCCGAAGGAGAGAGTGATCTGACCATGACAGGGGCTCAACAACTATTTCCCCTAAACCACGATCACTCAGCCACTGGCCGGAGGCAAAAACTAAGTCCAGTGTGTGTCCTCCGGTGTGGGTAGGGACATCTACTAATTGGGTCAGGTCCATGGCCGTCATGGAGGCCATGAACTCCCGAGCCACCTCAGATACTTCACCTAACGATGGCAGATTGAAATCCCCCATGACTAACAGTCTGGGGGTCTCAATCGCCATCTCGGCTATCACACTGAGAAGCTCGGGTAGGGCTGCTGATACATAGCAGGGAGCCAGGTATACAATCAGCACACCCTGCTGCCTCCCATGACCCCACTTCACACCTAGGGATTCACAACCGGCAGTCTGCGGCACAGTGGTCTCCCTTGGATCCAGGCCTTCCTTAATAATAACCGCCACCCCCCCCCCGACCCTGGGCTCTCAGCTGGTGAAATGCACGGTAGCCTGGCGGGCACATTTCAACGAGGGGCACCCCCCCCCTCTTGGCCCAGCCAGGTCTCCGTAATACCCGCCAGGTCCACCTCCCCCTCCGATACCAAATCATAAATGAGGGGGGCTTTATTAATCGTGGACCTGGCGTTACACAGCATCAGCCGAAAGCCCAGGCCCTGAGATCCTAAACCCCCTAGGTTGCAAGAAGAGCCATGGGGGCTGGAGCGCGCCACAGCTCGTAATGGGAGTTGTAGTCTAAATGTGACTACACCATTGGACTTTAGCTTCTAGTTTCCAAGCAAGAGGCAAAGTCATTTCATGCTGTTGGCCTTCTGGAGGGCTGGCCGCCTTCGGGCGCTGGGAAGCATCTTGCCCCTCTTCCTCAGACACGTCCAGGTTCTCCTCCAGGAAGTGGCCCTTCCTGGAATCACCGGATGCTCAGCCACGAGAATCAGAAAACCAAAGCCTGACGAGGCACCTTTTATGGTTGCTGATAGGATAATCAGGAGATCTGGGTTCAACCCTAACATTTTCAGTTTTAGTTTATTTCACTGCAGGATATCCTTAGATGGATGGACAAAAGGCTCCCAGCTCAAACAACAAACTTATTCTTTTACATGATTAACAACATCAATTCCAAGTATATTTTCCTGTCCCTAAACTCATTCATGTGTTTCAGAGAGACCCTGGGAGGCTCCTTACCTGACATGGACCTGACTCGGTTGCGGGTTCGAACCACCTGTGGGCCAGCCTGAGATTCGAGTTTCGCCGGGGCCTCCTTTGACTGCCTCACTTGCAAGCTGTGATCTGAGCTGGGGATCAGGAAGAATCTTGCTGTCAATTCATTAGGAAACAGGAGACTCTTTTGGCTTGAACTTTAACATGGAGCATTTATAGGAAGGAGGAGTCGGAGCTCGACTCCACCCTGGCAAGACAGGGGGGCTCTAGGCTTTTGACCCCCAGACTCAAGCTGGCATGCAACTCGGGAGTCCTCCTAGGAGCAGGCGGCAGCCATGGCTGGGGGTCTGCTTTGCACAGGTTCATCTGGTGCACCACCAACTGTGCTTCCTCCCAGACTGGGAGGCCTTGCACATGAGCACTCCTGCCTTGATCACTTCTCGTTTGGATTGCTGCAAGGCATTCTATGTGGGGCTGCCCAGAAACTATAGCTGTTCTAGAATGTGGTGGTGCAGGCAGTGATGGGTGCCCCTACATTTGCCCATGTAACCCCTTTACTGCGTGAGCTGCACTGGCTCTCTGTTTCCTTATGGATGCAACTCAAAGGGCTGGCGATTACCTTTACAGCCCTCCATGGCATACGGCCAGGGTGTCTGCTAGACGGCTTTTCCTAAGGACATCTACCCGTCCTACCAGATCAGATTGGGTGGGCACCCGCCTAATCCTTTCCCTTAAACACAGCCATCTGATGGGATCAAGGAAGTGGAAACACCCTCCCCCCTGAAGTTCAACAGGCCTCCACTCTCGCCAAAAGCGCTTAAGACCTGGCTTTTCCTGGCACTAAAGTAGGGTGAGAACTGGTGAGAGGACTTAGCGATGGACCTCATGTGAAAGTTTAACTTTGGTGCCAGGTTGATGCATGTATGTAATAAGGGTATAGTAATGTTGTTTTGACGGTTGGTTGGTTGGTTGGTTGGGAGGGAGGGAGGGATTCCCAGTTCACGCCTTGGAAAGTCAGTCTGGTGGTCAATTAGCAACTGCCAGATAGAACAGGACATGCAGGGCAAGATGGACTCAGGGTTTATGCGGAGAACATGCTTCCTATGTCCATGTCTGATAGAATATTTGCTGGGCAGTGACATCAATGACCAGCACATTTGTTTGCCTGTGATGTAACACAATGTTTTAAGCATAAAGCATATAACTAACCTTGGTAAATTTGTTTACAGACCATTTGCTTTTGTTATGCTATTGTGAAGAGGCGCATAAGGGTGGCAGAACATCCTGGAGAACTACCAAGACTGATGACCTTTAATCCTGCAGAACAGATCGTTCTTCCAAGCTCCATCCCTGCCTTGAGATTTGGGCTACTTTTATATGGTTGCAAACCAGTCTTTCTCAACCTTGGCAAGTTTACACGTGCTGGCTGGAGAATTCTGGGAGTTGAAGTCCACACATCCTATTGATCTTCTAAACAATGCCAGTGTTTAAAACCTAGACAAAAACTCCACCTTCTCTTGCTGTTATAACATTTTGTCATTAATTTTCTGTCCCTCTTACTTTAAAAAGGGCCTGAAAAGCGAGCAAACTGTAGGCAGCTTACCTGGATTCTGCGCCATTGTGGAACTCTCCATGGTCAAGGCCCAGGAGGGACCTGGTTCCTGTCCCAACACTTGTAGTGATTGTAACAAGCTTGTTACCCACCAGCCATGTCTTGGTCCTCCCTCCAGCTAAGAGGAACTCGCCCACCGGAGACCTAAAAGCCCCCAGAAAACAAGGATAAAGATGCTATCAAAGTCTCTCTGAATAGGGAGATTTCAATATTCATTTAAACTTCCCCAAAGAAGCCTTCTAAGTCCCACTCCCACCTCCGGAAGGAAAATGTACAGTAAACGAATCAAAGCGCCATGATTCTCAACTGATCTTCCGTCCTCCCTGAGCAAACACTCTCTTCCAGCATCGTTCTTGACCTGAGCTGCTGATAATCGGAGGGAAGCGCCTCCAGGCAGAGGCCAGAGTTTGCGCCAGCCCCAGCACTTAGCGCTCCAGGCGCTGGGTCTCTCTCCTGGGAAGGGCCACATGCAAACACCAGAGGGGAGCAGCTACTTCCACCTTTTGGGCACAGCGGTGAAGTTGGAAAAGACGTATCGGGCCATCATGTCGAGACAGGTCTCGGTGAGCTCCCAGTGGAGGGTCTTCAGGCTGTCGTCGGCCTGAGCCATGGAGTTCTCATCGGCAGAGCCCAGGCTGGAACTGGTGATGGAGGTTTGTATCCGGCTAGGGAAGGAGGGCAGAGAGAGGGTTATAATTTGGAAGAACAAATCTCCCAAGGGAAAAGGTCCCCAAATTCCGTTAAGCATGCAGCAGGCTGAGTTGTGGGCGAAGAGATCCGATTCTGGGACGGTTTTAACTGGCTTGGGCAGCCCTGAAGTCAAGGGCCAGGAAGCAGATGCAGGGAGAAGAGCAAGTGGGGCGATTTCATCTCCTCCCGGAAGCAGCTCCGGCTTCTCGGTCTCCGGAGGAGGGCCCGGCCGGACGGCATCCCGGCTGCGGGTCATTTTCAGGACTCTCATTTGTCTATGAACAGCAAGGGGGTCTAGCGGCTGACTCAGGATTAAACCAGATAATTATGTATTAAAAATGAATTTACCTTGAAAAAGAAAAAGCTAAAGGAACCAAACTGCAATACCTCAGAAAAATGCAAACCGAAAGATTCCCACTGATTCAAAGGTGGGAGCAGGAAATCAGTAAAATGTCTTTCTCTTCCCCCAGTGCTGACCCCACCACAGGAACCCCGCAAGGCCCCCCCCCCCGATGGCTTCCCTGGTTGAGATGGATTTGAACCAGCGTCTCCCCATTCCCAGACTCATATCTGAACTGCTCAAGTCCGCGGAGTCTGGTGTTTGGGGAAAACCTTATATTGAATATCAGTATTAAGTATTTGATATTAAGTGTTAATTAAAACACATTAGCTTAATAGTCAACAGTGTACAAGTAGTCCTCGACTTAAGAACACAATTGAGCCCAAAATTTTCATTGCTAAGTGAGACATCTGTTAAGTGGGTTTTGCCCCATTCTATGCCAGTTGTTAAATGAATCACTACAGTTGTTAAGTGAACAACATGGTGGTTAAGTGAATCTGGCTTCCCCTTTGACTTTGCTTATCAGAAGGTCACAAAAGGGGATCACTTGATCCTAGGACAATGCGACCGTCAGTCAGTTGCCGAGAATCTGAGTTTTGCTTATGTGCCTGTGGGGAGGCTGCAACGGTCAAAAGTGTGAAAACCAATCAAAAGTCATTTTTTTCAGTGCTGTTGTAACCTCGAATGATCACTAAACTAATGGTTGTAAGTTGAGGACTCCCTGTAATATTAACATTAAATATACTATGATTAAATTTCATATAAAATATTTAATAAATAAGGAGTGCTTAAGTTTCTTTCTTTATTAAATGTATATACCGCCATCTCACTCTGAGAAGCGACGCTGGGCTTAAAGGGAAACAAATGTCCCGATCCTGTCCGCTTTGTGGCCAGGGCAGGGCCTCTTCCGTTCACTTTGGGAATGGAGCCGCAACCTGCCAGCGAAAGCCCGACTGCCAGACCCCGCTCGAAATGAAATGCACGGCCCACCCAGGGGGCCCGCAGGGTCTGCCCCAAATGCAAAGAGGGCGGCTGCCACATCAAAAGCAGGCAGAGCTTCAATCGCCCTGTTTTGGCTGCCATCTTGAATTATTTTACCGTACCCTGCAGAACCCCCCACCTCAACAGACCGTAATTCCGTGTCCCCCCTCAAGTGGAATTATTTCACAACCAAGTTCTGAAGGTGCAGAACTTTGTTCAAGGCACATCGGTTTCCATATCTGAGTCCCGCAGCCTGATTTCTTGTTGGCTCTTATGGCTCCTCTTCAACCGGCATCTGAGCGTCATTGTTGCCCGCAGGGACACACACACCCCCGCCTTCTCCCCCAGTTCTTTTTTCTTTTTCAGTTAACTGGAAGAAAGCCCGTGAGTTTCCAGACAAGGTCACCTCTGGGATGGGTGCCTCTGCAATTACTCTCTTGCTAAAGCAGAGAAAGCAAGGGCGGCCCCAAATGTTCCCAAGGCTGCTGAATTTAGAGGACCAACACGGAGGATCATGTTCCAGTTCACCAGTCACTGGGATCCACCTTTGCACAGCTGGTCCTTCCCCACCCAGCTTCTCAATGCAGTCTCATGAACAGCTGTGGAAGGGCAGCCCTGCCAAGCATAACTGAGAAGCCAGCGCAGACAAAGTTTTGATGCCTAAGACGAGATTTTGTTCACCAAACAGGGAGCCTCACAAATCCCCCCCTTCTTTCCCTTCCTCACAACTGGTTAGTGATACAATTAAGCAGCACCAATTATGGTTATCTTCCAAACTAGTGTCAAATCTTGACCGAGGGGAATCAGGATTAGTTCTGACAAGGCTGGGTAACCTGAATGAACATGATGCTTTCTGGAAAGTCAGGGTGAGGGTCAGCCTTCAGGTAGCAGGGAACAAATGTCTAAATTTCTAAGCCGAGCGGATTTTTCTTTCAGCGAGTGTTACATTTGCCTTGGGTACGAAAGAGATGCATTCTGGATGCCTTCCTTGTTTTAAATTGCTTAAACCAAACACGGAGCTACAGAAGATTATAAGATGGCAAACCTGAACTGTTCATTCTCAAAAGATCTCAAGCTCCACGTCCCCATTTCCACTCCATCCCGTATCTGCACAGGTTTTGAACCACGATATTACGAAGCACAGAGCCAGCAAAAACAGGATGCTTTCATTTGGGCCATGGAATAGCCACCATTTGAAAGGGTTAAGCCAGAAGCAACTGCAACCTGTCATACCCTAAGAAATGGGGGGGGGGGTATCTGGGCCAAGCAGCAGCGTGGTCTCTTCAAACCAAACCAAGCCAAACCGAACTCAGACCGTTATCCTAAAACATGCAACAACATGCTTGCAAAGCGAGTGTGAAGGTGGGCATCAAGAAGCCAAGCAGGAGTCCCAACATGCACAGTCCCCAGCCCCCTCAATCAGCACAGTCAAGAGACCCCCTTGCTCTTCACCCTCCTCCTCCTCCTCCCCTGTCCAAGCATCACTACCTGTGGGCTGCATGGTCAGACACACTGATGCTGCGGGAGCGGAAGGCATCAACGGCCGAGGGATCCTTCAGGGCTTTCACAGGAGGAGACTGGTTCAGGTTTGGCCTGGCATTTTTGGCTACTTTAAAGCTACTAAGGGCAAAGCAGCATCAGAACCAAAGAGGCATGATTGCACAGGAAGGAAATCATTGGAAGGACGGGATGTGAAAGGCCACAAAAGCCCCAGAAGACGATGGAGAAAAGAAAGGAAAAGAAGAAAAAACAGAAGAATAAGGCCAAAAAAAAGGAGGGAAGGGAATTAAAAAACAAGAAAAACTTAACAGTATGAACATTTTAAACACAAAAAACAACAAGCCCGTTTTGCTCCAGACTGCTCGGTGTTACCCCCAACCCAAACCAAAACAGAACACAAACCAACCACACACAACCAGATGAAATTAGCGCAACTTAACACAAAGGCGGACCGAAAGGGGCAGCTGGAATGTTAAGGTGCGTTGGACAAGGAAGCTCCTTATGCAGCCGAGTGGGCAGAGACAGGACCGGAGACCTCAAGGTGCCTTTCACTCCACCGTCCCAAGTGACCCACAAAGTCACGAGGCTATAATGAAGGCCTCCACTCCACCGGAACACCAGCTCCAGGGCTGAACCGGGACAATCCCAGGACGGAGGATAAGAATTACTGTATTTTTCCTATTGCCGAACAAAATTATTTCATTTCAAAGCAAGCAAGATTTCTTTGAGTGGGAATCACTCTAGTCTAGACGCTAATCAGAACGCCACCTGAGAAAGACATCAGGAGCTGGGCGAATGCATTTCTTACCAGGCAGACAAACACATTCTTATATCTCGCACCTGAACTGCTTCCATGAAGACATACCAAGTCGGACTATAATTTATTAATAGATTGGGGATTTCTAGTTTAGAAGTAGGTTGTAAGAACCATTCATCTCTCATCAAGAGATTCTCTCCTTTGGAGAAGAACAGATTCCAGGAGTTTTTGGAAATAGTTTGTGGAGACTCTATCTGAACTGACAAATCAACAATATTCCAACTTGATGAGAATAAAATATTCGGTCAAGTTAGCGGTGACATAGCCACAGCCAAAAAGGGAAAGGGTGCCCGTGAGTAAGATTGATTCAAGACATTTCAATTATGGTGATTTAACCTGACTCACAAAAACTGTACTATGCAGAACGGTGACTGCCCCCATTTGGCATCTCATTCGGATGGCTGTCAGTACTGGGAGGAAAACGAAGATGCCTCGAGAGCCCCTTAGCAACCTTAAGATGTGGGGATAATAGAAAAGGGTTCTCACCAAGAAGGGTGGTTTTCAGTAGAAAGGGAGGCAACCTTGAACAGGAGCAGGCCTTCCACATTCAGGCCCTACTTCCCTTCAAAAGGCCTGTTACAGCCACCATCAAGCCACAGCGAGGGGGCAAAGGCTGCGGGAAGCCCTTCTTGTAGAAACCACTTTTAACTGCTGTCAAAGCAAGAGAAGAGCCTTTTCTGCCCTTAAACAAACTTACTTCTTGGGTCTCTCGTTCAGACTGGTACTACGAGCCCGGAAACTGTCTTTCTCTGGGGTGTCATCGAAGGAGAGGAGGATGTTTGACCGCAAACCCTGTCCAAAAGAGAGGAAGGGAGTGCCCGAGAGGATCCAAGAGGTTCTCTACCCCAAATGAGCCCCAGCTGAACACCCTCCCCAAAGGGGACCTGGTGTCACCCCTACAAGGTAGACCAGATGAGGGCACCATGGCCGTGTACCAAGGGCTATTTGTATTGCAACAGCCAGAAGAACCAAATCTTGCAAATCGGACTGTGCTTCCCTCTCCCTCCCTCCCTTCCTCTTGAGGTGAATGAGGGAGAGGCTCATCTGAGTGGTTGACTCAAGTTCCTTTCTTGGAATAGGCTCAAGACCCTCTTATCTGTCCCTTGCCCTGTAGCGGCTCTCCCTCCTGTCCTTCAAGGCCATTCCCTCTGTCCTCTACCCAACTGTGAGATAGCCGGATCGAGCCACAAAGTCAACTTAAGCAAAGTCTTCCCAGCTTCACTTGGTCCTCACTAACTATGAGGTAAAGTCACTCTGACAACAACCCCCACAACAAACACCACTGAAGTTGCGGCAGCATCTGTGAGCTGGGAGACCAGACCCATCCTGGGCGCTGGCATCCACACTTCTGAAAGCTGCCAAGATTGAGAAACAGTTTCTCAAAGGCTTTTCGTTGGTCTTTCTTAATAATGTAAGACACTCACCTTAGTGATATAGGGAACAAAGTCTTTCCGAAAGGGGAGGCGGCATTTGATAAACCACATGGCTATGACATGATGTGCCAGGCATACAATATACTGGTTAAACCTACAAACAGTTAAGAAAGGATGTTTAGGATGACCATGATGGCCTGGGCTTATGGAAATGCTCTTGGGCAGACAATCAATCAACTTATAAATAAATAAATACACAGTCAATCAAATTAATAACAACAGCATGGGACAAATCGGCCAGGCCAACCTGCGCAATCTGTTCTACAAATGGAAGCACTACAGAGAAGTCTGTACTGTGAAGGTCATGCCAATACGCGGGAGATTTGCCACAGCTGGTACATTCATCAACCAGCCTTTTCACCATCCCCTTCTGCCTCTCTCATCTTTCAATTTCCTAAAGAAGGGGGGGGGAGACAAAGCAGCTGCACTCTTGGGACAATGGGACTGGGCCATCTAAACAACTTCTCTTCTGTGGTGGAAAGCCATCCTCAAAACAATTTTCAACAGAAAACCAAGGATCCCTTGGTTACGAGTTAGTATCAAGCACCCAGCTTACTTGGAGGGGTTTGTATAGGGCAGAGAGATGGCAAATACGCTGGCGTACTGCTCCGCTGCAAAATTCCTGTAGAGATGAGGCAGGCGGGCCAGCGCTGGAAGGGAGAAAAAAAGGTCAGTTGAGTTGGCCCCGCCCTACTCCAGGCACACAAGGGATTCACATTGCCTGGTTTTGCACAATTCACCCAGATGAAGGTTTCTGAATCAACCACAACGGGCTGGGATTCTGTATCACCCTAAACCATAAACAGCGGTCTACAAATACAAGGCTGGGTCCATGTAGGACAGCCTGCCCACCTTGCTTTGTCCAGTTCTGGTACTGTGCAGGGACAGGTCAGTAACCTTCCTGGCCAGGGAAGGGAAGTGGCATGCGAATGCCTTCTTGATAGATGTATGTTTTGGTGTTCTCTCACCCAACTCCCAGCTACATCTGAATTTGGGCATCTGAGCTAGAGTTCTACCACTTGCCGAGACTGAAAATATAACCCTGGATGCAACGAGCACTCAATGATCTCCAGAAACTAAAATGGTTTGAGCTCTCCTGCATCTGTTTTCCTCCAATACCCTCTGCCCTCTTCTGTCAAAGTGCCAGAAATTTGCACAAGTGAGGGCAACTATTTCAGAGACAGGGCGACTATTCAAGTATCCCACTTGAGTTTCTAAGAGTTTCCAAAACAGCAGAGACTCATTGCTTTTTGCTTCTCCTCTCAAAGAGACAGGCAGATGCAGGCTCCAGGGGCACCCACTACTTACTTGAAAGGAATTCCAAGAGAGGGATGGCCATGTTGGCTGTCGCTGAAATATGCGTCAACTTAACTATCAGGACTGGCAAAGCTTTGATGATAATATCCGGCATTTCAACGCTGCAGATCGACAATGCCACCACACACTGGCTGGCGCAGCGGAAGATCAGCCCGTGCTCCAGGCAGTAAACCATCTCTCGCTGGGTGGAGAGAACAAGGTTATACAGGAGAGATACAAAGTGGGCCCTAAGATGTTCTGTATGTATCAATTATAGACTGTTAGGATGACGGAGTCGATTCTGATGGGTTTTAGTATCCAAAAAAGAATTTTTAAAAAAGCCAAATTCAAGGTTCCTCAGATTAAATATTCTTCCATACATCTATGCCAAACCTTTGGAGGACAAAATCACTCACATTAACTTGGAGGCTGATTGGCAAATCCATTTGAAATGACAAGCTCTCATTTTGAGGAGCAGGGATTAGCTTCAACCTTTGGATGTTGAGGAAGCAGACCAAGTTCCCCATGTGATTAACTCCACCGCTTGTGAATGAGATTGCTGCCCTCTCTCTCTCTCTCTCTCTCTCTCTCTCTCTCTGTGTGTGTGTGTGTGTGTGTGTGTGTGTCAGAAGACCGAGTTGGGTGGTAGTAAATATACTGGTGAGTGCTGGTGTTTCTTATCTTGAAAGGGGTGGTACACCCCCTTCTTAAAAAATCATCACTAGCCCCAACTATTTTACACCACTATCAGTGTGAGAAACCATCAGTCTCTTTTTCAGTGCATTGTAACTTTGAATGGTTACCAAACGAATGGCTGTAAGTTGAATTCATATCCTTGTCACTAGAATCACTAGCAGATCTGCTCCTGCACTGCACTGCAGGCCGGGCTGCTCTTGAAGACCGTACGGAAACTTCAGCAGCCCCAATTAGGAACACACGGAGCCCCATAATGCCACTGCTGAGAGCTGTAATGGTTGCCAGGTAGTTCGGGGTGTAGATCAACACTTTTAAAACCTGACATGATTCAAGGCCTGGCTATCTCCATGTCTGCCTTCTCCAAGCTGAATCTGCTAATCCAGTAAAACGTGCTTGCATGGGATCCTTCCACCAGGGGATTGCTATTTTGGGGTCCCAGGCTTAAGCCTTTGCCGATGCTCCCTCTCCCAACCCATTCCCAGATATCTGGACCCCCACCAGCCCTTGCTGCACTGGCCTGGTTCTTCAGAAAGGAACTGAAGATGATTAAGGTCAGGCTCTCCCCAATGGTGGACCGCTGGACTGATTGGCTAGCAGTATAAAACTGAGTTTTGCTTTTAATCTTCTCTTGTTGATTCTATAAAGCTACTGAGAGCGTCTGGAAATGAAAAGGCAAAAAGCTGTAGCAATAATTATAAATGCAGACTTCTGCAGTGGTCTCAGAAGCCCCGAAGCCTTGGCAGCAGAGGGGGGGAGCACGTCTCCCTCGTCCCACTCCCCCCCCTGCAGTACCTGCTTCGTTTTGTCCAAGTAACTGTGATAGGAGATCAAAGCAGTCAAGACCGGAACCACCGCCTGGTGCAAGTCGTTCCGGGACAGCCCTTCTGAGACGTCCCTCAGCCGCTCCGTCATCTTCTTATCAGTGAGCTAGGACAAAAGAGACACCAACTTGCGCTTTCCAAAAATAATTTTACACAAGGGAAGCCATGGATTGGAACCACTGGGGCAAGCATGTCTCTGGGCTGAACTGCATTTTTCATAAATGAGGAAGAGAAAACAAATACATGGAGAATTATCAAAGTAAACTGCATTTAATTTAAAATTTTGCTTTTGTTTTGTGTTGGAGCCACCCACATAGATTCTGGCCCTCAGCCTAAAACATGCTCTACAGCCCTGGATAAAAACAACCAACAGCCAAAATTCGAAACCTGCAGGCTAAATACCCCCCTCCCCCAATTCCATGCTGGCTCCCTATCAAATGCTGTAGTCATATCATTAAAAGGTGTCAGGGAAGGACAGAGAAGCCAAGCCCAGATTCCCAGAGGTCCAGCTTGTCCTTACCATGGAGCACAGAGCAGAGGAGAGCTGATCAATACTGCAAGGAGAGGTTAAGTACAGGACTTTGTACTGCAGAGATTTGGGCAGCTTGTTCAGGACCTGTTTCAGCACCTTCCAGTCTGTCTCCTAAAATAGAAGAGAGAAATTCAAGAAATGGAGGAAGAGTCCATAAAGTAGCAGACAAAGGTCCTGGTGCCCACTGGCCCCGGGGAGTGGTCCTTTTTCTGTGTGAATCAATTTGTTCATTTTCAGCATCCTAGCCATTATTTAATTACTCTGTATTTGCTATATTTATTATTTTTGTTTTCGTAGATTTTTACGGGTACAGGTATGCAGGTCTTGGCGTATTCGGGTCTTTTCCCACCAAGATACTCTCAATCTTACACAGGAAAAGACCCGAATACACCAAGACTAATATGGCCATTTCGAGCTCATTTGCTCTCATCAGTTAGCCATACCCTTTATGGGATTCGAACCTGGGCAGTTTACATACTAGGCAGTTGTTTAACCACCAAGCCACAGGCTCTCCTCCCCTCTTTGTCAGCCAAGTCAAGGGAGTATATACAGAAAATTTTTCAGACAGACCGGTCTGATTGATTACACCTTGGCATTTTGACTGCTATACTGCAGTTCTACTTTTTACAATCTCTTTTGCCTTGCAGCCCCCCAACTAGTTAAAGAATTAATTCTTTAACTCTGTCAGAAAAAGAAATCTGGATTTGTAAATGTTTCACAGTAGCGACTTCAGCCTGCTTAACGCCCCTAGTTGGGGGGCTGCAAGGCAAAAGAGATTGTAAAAAGTAGAACTGCAGTATAGCAGTCAAAATGCCAAGGTGTAATCAATCAGACCGGTCTGTCTGAAAAACTTTCTGTCTGTGTGTGTGTGTGTGTGTGTGTGTGTGTGTATCTGCTCCTGGCTGGACACCGAGAACTCAGATCAATTGGCAGTTGTCCACTGATTCCTCACTCACTTGCTTCAAGCACTGCAGAAGAACTCCAAAGAGGAGAGAGTAAGACAGGTAGCCTGTGCGGATGGGGGTGTTCTGCGGGGGGCTGCTTGGACTTCCCGAGGGGGGGGACAGAGTGCTGGCAAGCTTTTTCTCAGGCTCCCTGCAACACAAGAGAAGAACATTAGCACAGCCTGGTGCCCAGAGCTCCCCATTCCGTTCAGGAGACAGAGCTCCTTCCAGACCATTCCAAGCAAGCGTTAGGCTAGGACAGTGATGGCGAACCTTTTAGAGACCGAGTGCCCAAAAACTGGCCCCACCCCCACTCCACCCCCCCTGCCCGCCCCCGCTCTGCCACCCATCCCCCGCCCCACCTGCCCACAGGACCAGTCACCACCTCCAGGGCCCGCCGCAGATCGCCCAGGCAGCCCAGCAGCGCTATGGCGGCCATACCCTCTGCCCGCGCCCTGCAGCATCAACTGCATACTGGGGTGTGAGGGCAGAGTCTTGTCTACGCTGCCTGGCTGCCATGTCCTTGGCTGCGCTGCTCCGTGTGGGCCACGCTCGAGGGCCTCTCTCCTTCAGGGGGGCTGCTGGAGAGGAGGGGGTCGCGGGGGGAGGCGAGGCTGGGGCAACGGCACGTGGGCCCACAGAGAGGGCTCCCAGTGCCGCCTCTGGCACCCGTGCCATAGGTTCGCCACCACTGGGCTAGGACAAAGCAGACGCATTTGGGAGAAGAGACGGCTGCTACCCCCAAGCTCTGAAAAGGGAAAGGCTGAAACCAAAAGGAACATACACCGAATCGCAGAGGCAGTAGGGGCTGAATCTCACGAGGCCGTCTTTGGTGGGGAGGCCCAGGCGGTGGAGAAGAGCGTCAGCACGAAGTGAGAGCAAGAAGTCAAATACCTAAAAACGGAAAGAACACTCCAATGTTAAGAGCAAGAAGGAAAAGAAAAGGGCATCGTTTCCAGTCATTCCAACTCTGGCTCTACGAAGAGAGCTCCTCAGCCAAGCTAAGCAGCCCCACAATATTTCTGAAAAGCATTCAAAAGCACTAGGTGGACAGTGAGAGAGAGAGAAACGGTTCCCATCCACCACTGGCACCGGGTCCCTGCAAAAGTCGATGTCCTGCTGCAGGGCTGTTGAGCCTCATTCCTCTTGTATCATCATCAGGTTCAAACCTTCACAATAAGACAGGCAAGGGGGTCACCCTTAGCCTGGTCTAAGGATATAGCAAGAGGTACCACACTTCTCTGTGACATTCCAAACTTCTTCCCAGAACTTTTCTGCAGGTTTAGCAGCAGTGGCCCACCCAAACCATTTCACTCCCCCTTTGCTTCCCCCCTCCCACTTCTCCTGCAAATCTCTGGTTCTGGGAAAGTGTTTTCACCTGCAGGCGGATACTGCTGGCAATGGGAAGGCTGTACTTGTGCTTATAGTGGAGCTGAAGGTGATGGACAAGCATCTCGTAGACCCGCATGGCATGGCTGGCAGGCAAACTGTACAACTTGGTCTGAAAGGAGGAGGGGAAGAGCTTTTGTCAAACTGGATTTGTTCTCTTGTACTACTCAGGCACAGAAAGAATGGCTGAAGACCACACTGAATTCTTTAAAATATTCTCCTCGTAAGAGAAAAAGGAAGCGCTGCCTGGAACTTTACCTGGAAAATGACAAGTAAACCAAGGACTGCCGTCTTCACGTCTTCTAAGGAGGCCGAGTAAGAGAGCAGGTCTCCTTCCTCCAGGTCAGCAGGAGGCAGCAAAGAATGGGAAGCAACCTTTACAGGAAGAGAGCAAGCAGATCTGCTGAAGACGGCAGCCCCAGTGGGGACTTCAAGGGATGGAGATTGCCAGGCTACCCCCAAGAGACCCCCTCCGGATGATGCCACCACTGAGAAGAGCTGCTGGACACGAGGGGGAGGTGAGGTGAAGAGGAGACGCCCCCTCACCCTAAGAATCGAAGCTCGGGGCTGGGAGGGACCAAGCTGATTAGGGCTTATATGGGGGGGGTCACCTGATGACCGAGTGGGATTCACTTAACACTGGCAGCAGACATTGCCAGAAATGCCATTGTTGTGAGGGGCAATCGTGTGAGGTCTTGATTAACAACCACATTATTTAGTGAGAATTGCAAGTTCCACTTGTGGTTGTGTAGTGAGGACTTATCTGTGTGGCTTATTCAATAAACTGTGCTTGAATACATCACAGTGTAATGCTTTGTATACATCAGAACTCTTGTTTCAGCTAAGATATATCGGAAAGGGGAAGGAATCTAAATGTGAGCATCTATGTGGTGGTTCCAATTCCACTGTCCACCCCCAAAACACTGTTGTGACACAATATTGTCATTGTTACAAAAGCTCTTAATTTTATAAAATGCACTGGACAGCTATATCAGAAAAGCAGTGGCCCTGTTGAATTAACCGAGCCTCTGATCCGAAGCATGGTTTCCTCTCTATTTCCTGGGAAGAAGCATCATCTTTGCCGTTACAGAAACTGGAGGTGAAACACAGTGTCCATACCTTCTCTATGATATCCAGCAAGCTGCTGAAGTGATGGGTATTGCAACCCTCAGCCAAGTCCACCAGCAACTGGGTGGCCAGTTTGCGAACTTGGTGGTCTTTATCTTCTGGGATATGAGATAGCTGGGAGATGACCAGATTAATCAATTCCTCCTGCAATCAGAGACAATTTCTGACTATAACTACAACAGGTGGATAGACAGGTTTCTATGATGTCAGGCAAAACGATCAGGTTCAGGAGTCTTGAATGTCTAGGTCCTCAAGCAGCCATATGTCATTCCACCTCCAGGACCAACCCTCTCTTCAACATCCACCACGATGAACGAACGTGCACTGGGATGTGCAAATGAGGTTGGGGAAAGAGGGGAAGAGATGTTGCCAAGGAAACACTCAGCTAGGAGGGGCAGAGCTCCCCAGTCACCTAGGGGTCAGGAAAAGAAACCAAGGGGAGGACCTGCCCTTGCAGGAAGCAGGGGAAAAGACTTTCAGACTTGCAAGATTGGTGACAGCCCTGCATTGTACGGGCAGCCCTTGATTTACAGTTCAGGTGGAATTTGCCAGGGACAAAACTTTTTTTGTTGATGTTGTTGTGAGTTTCAGCCAAAAGAAACCCCACAGGGATCTGGAGCAAATCCCTGAGATGTGCTGTTGCAAGCAAAGCCCTCAGCCCTGTCTCCCCCTGCAAAACAGGTCTGCCCAGAGCAATTGTCTCAGAAGGCGTCCTCACTTGCCTCTCTATCTAGGCCAAACACGTGTTCAGTTTGAACGTGAACTTCTGTACATAGAATAGTTTGAGCACGAACTGTTTGTGTCTCTCTCCTCTGGCCTATTTAACCACAAAGCTTGACCTCTCGGTACAATCAGAATAGCCCATCTTGGAATAAGAGGAAGATTCACCTCGTAAAGCTGCCTGTTGACACTCAGCACAAAAGACAGGACGTGCAAAACCTTTATGCGAACAGCACTCCGGCTCTCATTTCTAAGCAGAAAAAGTGGATAAATAAAGTTGCTTTTAAAAAGAGACCAAATCTACACTTGCAGTTCAAAATCCTATGGTAGCCAGTGTGGCTCAGCTTGTTAAACTATAAGCTAACTCTGGAACTCATCTGATTCTAAGATGGGTTCACACTTCAGGCTAAACCAATCTTTGGTTTATTCAGTGGTGATGAGCTTCTGGGCTAATAAGACATGTTCCAATTATTTGTTATCTAATTATAATAGTTAACTTAAAACAATATAATTATAGAAATAAAAATAAAAGCACGCATCAATATATAGTACATGTAGGTCTTCCATCATAAGTTGTTGCAGTTATGAAATGAACTCGATTGTACAACAATTTTTATGGCAGTCATTAAACAAATCACTGTAGTCATTCAGCAAACAGTAGGGTCATTAAGTAAATCCAGCTTCTTCAATGGGCATTTTTTAAACCACTTTTTGCCAGAAATCAACAAAAAAGTCACAGGTTGCAATCACACTTGATCACACTTTGGCCCCTGGCAACCGGCGCATATTTATGTTCAAGTGTGAAGTTCCTAAATTGTGATCAGATGAGTATAAGGGTGGAACCATAGTAAGCAGGAGTACAGGTCATAAGTCACTTTTTCCAAGGCCAACTTTGAACCATTGTTAAATGTAGAGCCGGGCAGCACCTATAAATCATTAGTTTGAATGATTTGGATTTACTGTGCTGTATTAACCTCCCAACTGGGGCTGTAAACTGTGCTTTGCACTTAGTTTATCTCTGGGACCCACCCAGGCAACCCTGGCCTACTCCAATGTGGGAATGCAGCCACAGAAACTCTTTTAATCTAAGCAATGGAACATTAGGGCCAATGCAACGTCAACAGAAATATCTGCTGCTAAAGTGTCCCAATCCTTGATCGGCCCACCCTTCTCTTTCTAGATCCTTAAAGAAGAGGCCATCATTGCTAAGCCCCTATAATCCCACTTTGGAATAATCTGAACCAGGGAGAAATTCTTTCAATATATTACTTCAATTATAATACGGTGGATGACATCAATTCATTTAGAGC